GGGTTTGATAAGTAGGATGGCTGCAGGCTTCTGAGGAGCTTAAACAATGAATTGGGCTGAATACCCTAATTCTGTGCTGTAAACAACAGATTAAGTCAGTGCGTTCAACACACAATTTCAGATCAAAGGCTTCACATTATGTAAAGATATTTAAGTGTGCTTCACCACTGAGGTCAGTGTAGCCTTCCTTTTTCTGAGGTGCTAAACAGGATTCATAACTGAGATAACAAGGTGTAGAGCTGGATGAACACAGCAGAGGAGCAGGAAAGCTGACGTTTCGGGTTTGGACCCTTCTTCAGAAATCAGATAACCCTTGTTATCTCAGATTCTCCAGCATCCGCAGTTCCTACTATCTGAAAGGATTCATACCTCATCTCAGAGTTAGAAGGCTATGGATTCACGTTTCACTACAGTGACCCAGGATACCAGTTCAGTGTAGTGCTTAGAAAATATTCCACAAGAGGTGCTGACCTTTGGAAGTGAAGTTAAACAATCACAAGGCACTATATGGAAAAAAGAGTAAGGGAGTTGTTTTGGCTAATACATTTTCTTCCCACAACACCTCTATAAACATTATCCGGTCATTAACTTACTGCAGTTTGTGGAAGCTCACTATGGGCAAACTGACCACCGTATTTCCTAATTACACTTTCAAAAGTACTAAATGACTAAGCGTTCAGGGATATTGTGCAGTATGAAAAGCCCTTTATAACTGCAGGATTTTTCTATTTGTCAATACACTCATGTTATTACAAGAAAGTTGAGCAAAGAGCACACAACTTCATAGAGAATAAGAGATAACACAGTGTGGAGCTGGAGGAACACAGCAGGCCAGGCAGCATTAGAGGAGCAGGAAAGTTAACGTTTCGAGTCAGGATCCTTCTTCAGAAAATGAGAATAAGTTCTTTTATCACACGAAACAATGATTTTTGCATTAACCTGGTTTTGTCCCTTTTTTTTTACATTCTGATCTAGATCATGTTTTCTTTTCCCCACTCTTGTTGTCAATATCATATCAATGAGGGGCGACTTATTTATCGAGGAAATTAACTCCCTATATCCTTTTATCAAGTCTTCTGCAGAATTCGCTTTGCTAGAAATCAATAAAACTGACAGATA